TCAACGAAATGTACCGCACCAACAGAAGGTTCGTTGACCAACTGAACGGCTCGTTTCCTCTAACCACTTGGAACCGCCGGAACGAAACCGCAAGCGATCATTTAGCTGTAAAGTGTCCGCCTTCGAGACATTTCTTCCAAATATTAGACGGCTACCGAACTTTGACTGCAACCATTGCGATTTGTCATAAGCAGACTACAAAACCTCCAATGTTAAAATCTGGTACACGTGATTCTTAACGGCATTGCATTCGTATGCTGATATCTTTTATACTTTATTTCCTGCAAAATTAATCTAGCATCAGCCTATTTCCTGAAAGAGGTGCAAACAATACATGACTAATTATTTCGTATATCACCAAAATACAGTAATATTTTACGTTGCCATCTACTGACAACCGAAGGGTTTATAATAACATTTAATATAAACCACGCTTAATTTAGAACTTAACTGACAGTAAACTATAATATAAGAGCTTAAATTGCATCTGTGAAGAAAACAGTTTTAAATGATATTGTTTCTTTCAACAGACAATGAATTAAATAAACACTTAGCCTCGCGTGGATATCAGCTGATGAGTGTCCTAACATCTTAAGGCAGAAGTTTTTGATTTACACGCATCCAGTTGTTACATCGGAAAAATCATCAAACTATTTGTAAGCGTTTTGTAAACAAACATTTTGCAGCGAATAATACGGACTTTGGTGGAACAATTTCTTTTTGAAAGTCCGCCCCCCCTCCGATACTTATTAAAGTATACGGTGAGACCGTGTAAAAGTTTCACATAGAATGAAGCACAGGTTTTAGCTTAACATTCATGAATAATTAACTGAAGTAATTAAGTTTTGGAAAAATTCAGCATACTTAAAATAAATTAAAACAGACTGAAGAATGCGCCAACACTGTCCAATCCAGAGCAATGTCCGCCACACTCCTGCATCTCATGGTAATAAATCGCCTGAAAGATAAGCGAAGCTTGTTATATATGCCATCTTTCCATCGCTTGGATGAGACTGACTAAAGTCAGTTTCATTGCTTGATTCAGATTGAAGGAGATATGAACAAAGATTGTCACATGGTATGTATAGGTACAAAAACGAGGTGGGGAACATACCATAATGTCAAAAGAGTTTCTAGAAATTTTGTGATCGTTTTTAGCTGCTGATGAGTAAAACTGAAGTGTTTTGTTAAACTGCTCAATTTTTGTTGCGATAATTGAAAAGAACTCACTTCGAATATTATTATTTGTGTTGAATTAATGATACCGACATGCATTGCACATCGAAAGCTGAAGTACAATATTACTTTTCATAGCAGAACACGTCTCGTTTAAAAGCCAACGGCAGGACATGTTTTGCATAATCTTTGAATCTGTTTTCCTTTAAGCCTCACTTAACGAGGTTAGTAAGTTCATTATTTTAGTTTTTCCTTTCTTTCAAATTATTCTGTCTGTTGTTTTCATTGTGTTGCAAGGTAATATACGTGGATTCGCTTTCAACGCGCAGAAAATTATGCAATTGAATACTGATATTTTATATCCTCGCGTGAGTTACATCACATCGAATGCGAATTATTCAAAGTAAAAGTCATAAGTATGCTGTTGATGCGTATGAAATTAAATATTCATGTTGAAGCAAGTCATTGCAAATTACGAGGAGTGTCAGATAAAATAATTGTTTTGCATTGCCGTTTGGAAAATTTCGACATCGTGGTACTATCTTCACGACTAACGTTTGTAATTTTTAAGGCTCATATCGATACCGTGCGGTAGATGACTTGAAGATTGCAGGTCTTCTGATTCCATGGTTGGTAGCACTTGAAAACAAAGAAAAACAATTGTTTGTGATTGTGTAGCATTCCCTACATAACGTGGCATTTTGTTTCAAAATGAAATGGTAAGAATTCCGAAGTCCCAAAATAAAATTTGTTTCTTTCATTATATCACCTTAAAATAATATATCGCTTTGAATATGCAGGGCCTATCACTGTTTAGAGTAGCTTCCAAAGGTGCGAAGACATTTCTTGTTAAAAGAAGATAGCCATGTGCAGTGAAGTACATAACTTACTAAAAATGCGTCATTATAACTCATTGGCTAAACTCTTCATGCATAAGCTACGCATTCACATACATTCGACCGCTTCAATATCGCCAGGATGGATTCATCACATTACCAGTGAATTTGGAGTGCAGACTGTTCGAGTTAGATCGAAACTGAAACCCAAACCGCCTGACTAAGTGCTTAACTTTTTGACCACCGCTTTGTCAATTTGCAGAGCCTAAAGCCATACGTAATTGTTATCATTTCATTGAACGGACAACAAGCGAAACCTTCCATTCATTACATTGTTCATTGACTAGAACTGTAAAATAAAGTGTTGTATAATTTCGTGCATTTAAAAACTGAATATGGATTGAAGAGCAACACATAGAATCTAATGATTTTACTACGAAAAAATATCTACAATAGACGACAATACGGGAAACTTGCATATTAACCTTATAACTCAACACATTTTTTGTACAGGTCAGACTAGTATTTCACACTGCCTCGTTTTATTCTATTTGTTCACTGCAGCTGACCGATGCGCTCTGAACCACTGGCAATGAACCTCATTCACTTCTCGATACCGCTGATAGGCGCCTGCGATTGTTTTCATACGAGGAAACCTCTTCTTTTCGGTGCGCGGTGTTTCCAGTATATCCTTGATCGACCAGACTCGCGGTCGTTCGCATAGGCGGGTTAGCTTGCTCCTACCTGCTCTAGCAAGAAAGTGGCTGGCAAACATACAATGACGTGAAATATTATGCCATTTTCAGGAATGCTAAGAACTTCAAGAAAGCAAATATTTAGCGTATAAGCTTTTTGTGCTTATTCTGCTGCATTCGTCGAAATAGCGTTTAAATCATATAGTTCGAGCAGTTCCTATGGAGTCCACAAATTATGCATCCACATCGAAGAACCCCATTGGTGGCTAAAGTTGAAGGAAGTTGGTTGGTTGGAACATCGGTTATCGCGTTGTCGTCGTCTAA